GAGGCTGCTGGGAGGAGACAGTGAGGGGACTGTCCCCCTTCATGGGCAGTTCCAACCCTAATGGCAATTAGTGTCATCCTTCTGTGTGAGCACAGGTGGACTGGATACTGCAGGGCCTTGTTTATCAGTGCTGTCCCTGCCCTCTCCCTGACCTACCAGAACCTGGCTGCCAAGCAGGAGGTGCACAGTCTGCTAAGGCTGTTTTGGAAGAGTGGACCCCTGGAGAAAGGGAACTTGGCATTGCTGGAGATGATTCTCTGTGGGGCTCCCTCACCCCTATTCTGCCAGCGAGAAGTCAGTCTTGGTTTGGCACGGAAGGGAAGGCTTCCAAATGACCTTCCATGGGCTCCCTGGGGGTCTAGGTGGTCCCCTCCAGCCACAAGCTGTTGCCTAGGCATTCCTGTCTTAGGCACCAAGCCTGACCCTCCCAGGAAAACTGATGCTGAATCCCCAAACCAGGGGAGCTTGGCCACCTGGCCCCAGAGGGGCCTGGCTATGCAGGATTATGGAGGTGGTGGAGGGGTTCTTTCAACTGCTGCTTGCTTAGCTGAGTTGCTGTTGACTGGATACCCACCTCCACCCACATTTGGAACCAAGGAACCCTTTTTGTGATCCAAAAGTCAAGGGCGTGGTTGACACAGGAGAGTGGAACAGGTTCTGGGAGCTCCGAGGCTCCCAGAGAAGAGATTCGGCTTCAACTCCTGCCTCCCCTATCCAGTTGCCTCTTTCCTTGCCCTGTTTCCTGGCCCCTGGGTGATTCTCTGCCTTCTCAGACCATCTGACTTCAAATCCATCCCCTTTGTCCCTCTATATAGGCTGCCTGTGTTTGGGACCCCAGGGTTGAAGCTCAGCCGTAAAGCTCCTCTGGCTTCCCTAAGCTCACCGCCACGGACCCCTTGCCACCTCCCACCAGTGCTTCTCATCTTCCTAGTAAGACTATAAACTACTGGAGGACAGGGTCAGTCTATGTCCTCACCCTTGCAGAGGCTGCACTTCTGAAGTCGGAGTTGGCTTGAGGATTACCGTGTGCTACTGGGACAGAATGACAGAATATTCACGGCCAGGACTTCCCTATAGCCCTGGGCCCTGGAATCTTGGTTTCTGTGTGCTTCCTGCTGATGCCACCACTAGCAGAGTCAGGCCTTGGTCCAGGGGAAGGACTTCTCTCTTCTGAGCTGTGAAGTCTCCTCATCTTGTCACTGCAGCCTAGAAACTGGTTCTGGATAGCACCTAAGTATAAATGGGGGCCATAGAGTCACAGAGTTCTGATTTCCCTGGCCTTCCCACATCCTAGTCTGGGGGCCTGGGACAAGTAATCAAACTTCAATGAACTTTGAATTTCTTACCTATGACATGGAATAATTTTCAGAGGGAGAAGCCCTCAGCACAGTGCCCAGTGCCCAGTACGTGCTCAGGGAACAGCTCATCTGTCCCTCTAACCCCAGTGCTCTCTACCTTCCTCTCCACTCTGCGTTTTTCTTCCCTTGGCCAGGGTCCTGACCCTTACTTGTTTTTTTTTTTTTGCTTCACACTCAGTGGCTATCTCAGGCCAAATGTGGTTTTAAACCTTAACCTGGGGGTCCTGGCGGAGACCTTGAACTTGGCTCAGAGATGAGAAACAAGGATACCAGACATGCTGTTCTTTCTGGCTTGAGGGTGTGTTTTGTGACCATCCTGCCTTGCTCCCAACCATGGGAAGCAGTTTATGGTAGCCCCTTAGCTGGCTCCTCCTCTGGCATATGGGATGTAGCCGTTGAAGGCCAAGGCTGACAGGGCCAGACCCTGGTTGCATAGCTAGCCTGGAGCCTGTCAGGGAGTGTGAGTGTGCTCCAGAGAGGTTGGAGTCCTGGGCTTCCCAAGAGGCCACAGTCTCCTGGCTGTGGTGCCATGTGCTGGGTGGCCTCTACAGTGCCAGCCAATATGGGAGTCCTGCACGGTAGCTTTCCTGGCCTGTGCAAAGCCTCAAGGCAGTTCCAACTGAGTAAAAGCCACTGAGGTCCCTACTCAAGAGTTCAGGGCAGGTAGGGTGTGTGCAGATGAGCGTGCCAGGGGCCAGAGAAGGACTGGACCGGGGAACTTGGAATGGCAGGGCCAACTCCACCTCCCAGAGCTGTAGGCTGGAGTTGGTAGCTGTTGAAAAATCATTGAAGGCCTCGATGAATGGATTTGATCTACCAAGTCAGGGACAGAGATAAGTACAATTGTTCCTCAGTATCCCTGGGGGGTTTGGTCCCAAGACACCTATGGATATCAAAATCTACAGATGCTTAAGTCCCCTATATAACCAATGCAATCCTCCCATATACTTTAAGTCATCTGTAGATTACTTGTGATGCCTAATGCTATGCAAATGCTATGGAAATAGTTGTTATACTGTATTGTTTAGTCAGTGACGTCAAGGAGTGTACATGTTCAATATAGACTTTTCCAAAGATTTTCAGTGCACAGTTGGTTGAACCCAGGGATGCAGAGCCTGCCTATACAGAGGGCCAACTGTCACACAGCAGGATTCTGGAGTAGTCTAAATGGTCCAACCCACTAGGGGGATGACTTGTGGGAGATGGTAGCAGCCTAGGATACTTCCAGAAGCCCAGAACATGCCCCCACACAGTTGTCTCAGTGACTCCTCTTTTCTCTTGAGACAAGAAGTAGGTTTTCACATGTACATGTGGGGCCCAGAAGTGGCTATGAACCCACTCTTGATGTGCCTCCAAAGCACATGGGGAGATCACAACACTGACTACATCCCTGTGTGGGAGGAAGGCCATTCTGCGTTGGAAGGGCTGGAAAGGAAGGTTATTTGAGAGTCACTCTGTTGCAGGGGGATTATCAACATCAAGCAGCAAAACTTCCTGAAGTTGGCTTTCTTCTAGGGAACATGGGTGTGGGGGGCTGCAGTCCTGTGGGGCCAAGTCCTCTTAGGATAAGTCTGGGGAGTGCAGTTGAGGAAGATACCATCTCTATGCCATGGAACACTTTGTTCCCATGAACACTGGGGAGGGCAAGAGGGTGGGAGGGACTTCTGTGCCCGTGGGCCTGTCCATCTTGCCCTGTGGTGGGGATTGGCAGGGTCGCCCACAGCAGGCATTAAGCTTTGTTCTCACTATTCCATTGGATCCAGATATGGGTGCCAGGAAGGCCCCGTGGCAGAAGCCTGTTCTGAATTCTGCATATTCACGCACTGGGTCTGCTGCCAGTTCTGGGCGCTGGGATGCTGGGTTGGGGCTGGGCTGGGCTCCATGGTGCATGGGGCTTCTGCTGAGTGGCTCTGTGCCCATGGCTTGGCTCTGTCCTTGGCTGGCCCAAGAGGAGTGTGTCAGCCCTGGAGCAGGTTTCCAGTTCCCCTCCTGGCTTTCTATCCTCATTGGACACACATATGCATGGTTGGAAGCCCCTTCCTCTCTACCTGGTGGACAACAGTCCCCTTGTGGGTTGTAGGTTGGTTACTTCGCTTAAGCATGGGAAAGAGTTGGGGCCTAATGGGCATGGAGAGGTGGAAGCAGTGAGAACAACAGCAGCAGAAACTCCATCACAGCTCCCAGGAAGCTGTGCACGCAGGAGACAGAGGCTAGATTCCACTTCTTCCTCCTTCACAGCTGTTGATCGTGCCTGGGGGCTTGTGTGGCTCATTCGTGGTTCCCAGACATTCATACATGGCGTCCCTATAACAGCCACTATTATTCCTATTCTATAGCAAAAGAAATAGAGATTCTAAGGAACTCCTTGCTGTGCCTAAACCAGTCATCTCATAAAGGGCAGAGTTGGGATTTGAGCCCAGAACTCTCAATAGGTGCATCACTATTGGTGTGTCCTAAAATTGACTGGCTAAGCAAAGTCAGTGCTGCTTGTTGGGCAATGATTTCTCTCAAGCTGCATCCTGGGATTAGTTATATAGCAATGGTACGTCTCAAGCAGACATCGGGGATGCTGTCAACGCCATGGAACATGTTCCAGAAAACAAGCAAAATGTGAACAATGTATTCCAAGTCACAGACTCCTATTTGTAAATCAACAGTCGTGTGTGCATATACTTGCACGTGTGGCAGGAAGCTAATTCTAGCGACGGCCATTCTGTATTTGGCTACTAGCAGTGTGGATGATGTTCTATTTTTTTGTACTTTTCAATTTTTTGCAGTGAAATGTTTCATGTCTTAAAAAAATTATCTAAAACAAAAAAGCTGGAATGTCCAATGGGCAGCTCAGGAGATAGCATCCTCAGGAGAGCTGCGTGTTCCTTGTGATTGCTGTCTAGGGCTTTGTGGTAAGGCAGTGTCTCAGATTCCTTGATGAACTGTGTGGGGTCCTTGGGGCTGAGAAGAAGGAATTATCCTGGGTAGGACTCCTGGAGCTTGACCGGGTCTGAGAACCACCTGGGCCTCTTGTTTAAGTGCAGGTCCTGACTTCAAATGCAGGCTCCTGATCATGGCTGGGTACCGACAGGTGAGCCCCTGCTTGTTAGGAGGCTTGGGTGGGGTCCGAGGCTCTGTGTGTTTGGTGCTGCTGCTCCAAGGCCCTTGAGCACTGCCCTGGAGAAGAGCCCAGTGCTGGCTCCCTGGTAGCCAGGCACTATCAGGCAGACATTGTCCCAGTGGTGACTGCAAAGGTACACAGGGATGTTAGGACAAGCAGCTTGAGCAGGGATTCCCTGAGTCCAGTAACCAGTAACCTTTCTGGAAGAGGCTCTTCAGAGATTTGGAAAGATGAGTGTCTTGCTTAGTTTGAGAGCAGCTTTTGTTTTTTGGAAAAAGCTCAGGATTGGGATTTAGCTGTTCAGAATTTAAATCCCAGTTTATTAGCTGGGTATCCTTGGGCAAATCTTTTCAACTCTTTCAGCCTCAGTTTCCTCACCTATAAAGCAGGGGTGAGAATGCCTGCTTGAGAAGGTCATGGCAGGGTGAAGAGGTGTAACATATACTAGGAATCTAGCCTGGTACTTGGCACACCATGGGCCCTCAGTGTGTGTTTGCTTCCCATAGAATTCTCTCGCCTCTCCTTAACAGGTGGATGAAATTTACCATGACGAGTCCCTGGGGGTCCATGTGAACATCGCCCTTGTCCGCTTGATCATGGTCGGGTACCGACAGGTGAGCCCCTGCTTGCCACCTGAGAGACCTTGGATGGAGGAGGGGTGTGCAGCCACAGTGTGGTCCCAGAAACTTCCTCTCCAAAATCAGAGCCCTGAGACCATCAGAACCAAGGCTTAGGTTGGAGGCATTAGAGGTGAGAGCAGAAACTAAGGGTTCCTTCAGTGGGGAATGGACATCCTACTACCTTATGGAGGAGACCCTTCTTGAGGGATTTAGGGAAACAGGCTTAGAGGGGGCAGTGACCAAGACAAGTCCTGTCATGGTTGAACCCTGGGCTCTGCAATCTCCAATAAGACACTTATTCTGGACTTTCCTCCAAGGATTGCTGTGGAGATGAGACAGTGCAGTGAATGTAAAGCCCAGGAAAGCATTCATCCTGGCACCTGCCAGTGGGTTAGTAGAGGGGACAAGAAATAGTGTGGCATTTCTAGTGGACACATGTAGACAAAGTGCTTGGTTTGTCACAGGAACACTCCCTAAAACAGGGTGGGCCGTGTGCCAGCCATGCCAGGTGGACACAGCTGGCGATCTCTGGGACAGGCACAGCATGCAGCCCCCTGGGCCTCGGAGCTCCCACTTGTAAGTGGGAAGAGAGCTCCTGTGGCATCCAGGATTCTGACCACTCCACTGGTGGCACTCTTCTGGCCCCTGCAGTCTCTGAGCCTCATCGAGCATGGGAACCCCGCTCGCAGCCTGGAACAGGTGTGTCGCTGGGCACATTCCCAGCAGCGTCAGGACCCCAGCCATTCTGAGCACCACGACCATGTTGTCTTCCTCACCCGGCAGAACTTTGGGCCCTCAGGTATGCAAGGTACTGTATTTGCCGTGGCCAGGTGTGTGCAGCCTGCAGGGCACAGGGTTAGGCCTGGAGGTAGACGGGCTCTCTGTGGAGCCCGCCTCAGGGAGGGAGGAAACATGACCTGGATAGAACTTGGAGTGGTTTCTTGGGGACCAGGAAAGTGAAAGGGTCCCCACGTGGGTGCCTACTATCTTGGCCCAGCCTGAGGCAGCTGTGTGTGGTCAGGCCCTGAGCTCTGTGCTTTATGTCCCAGAGCCCACCTACTTGGTGACCCCATAATTTTCCTGCTCACACCATGTCTGGTATTCTTATCACAGACTGTGGGTACTTAGGGGTGGTCATGTGGGCTACAGAAAAGGAAGCCCATGTCTCATCCCCCTCCATGCCCTGCTGGCCCGTGGACTCAAGTTCCTCTTTCGCTCTTGGATTCTCCCAACTCTCAAATGGGAAAGATTGTAACAATGGTCTTGCTTCAGTCCTCAACTGCTCACAGGACTGAGGAATGTGTGAAATATCCGTGACAGAGTATTGACAACTGTAAGCATCTGTAAACATGTACCACTTTCCTTTGTGGGGAAACTGAGGTACAGAGTGATGAAGAGGTGTGCCCATGCCCCACAGCAACCAGGAGGCAGATCTGGCTCTCCAGGCCCCACATTAAGGGCTTTGCATGTTTTCTGGTTTAACGTTGGAAATGAGTCAGCCAGCCCTGCCTTCCCAAGGGTTGCCTGTCTGCACCACTGAAGCCCAAATGTGGTTTATAGACACGCACGTACCACTCACATGCATGCACAGACACATGCACACATGCAGACATAAGACTTACACACATGCACACACAGAGATGCATGTACACAGGCACACACACAGACACAGGCACATGCACACATTTGTGGGTGTAATGGCATGACATGTAGGACAAAACCCAGAGCTCAGGACAATAGAGGCCCCAAACCTCCTTCCTGCAACAGTCTGTCATTGTACTCCCCAAAGTCACGTCAAATGAAAGACCATGTCAGCCACAACTCTAAGACAGGGAAAGCTCTCTAGTTGACTGCAGGCCAAGGCAGGGAGTGCTTCCTATTGGCCGCCCCTCTGAGATCTTCCAGGGCTTGGTCAGCACTCCCAACCTGTATTTTTTGGTGGTGTTTTTTGTGGTTCTGGGAATTGAACCCAGGACCTTGTGAGTGCTCAACACGTACTCTACTTCTGAGCCACACCCCAGCCTAGACGGTCTTAAAAACAGGTCCTTAGCACACAGACCTAATCTCCCTGCTGGCCTGCCGAATTGCACCTTCCTTAATGTGTTTCCATGGTATCCAGAGCGGGTTTTTTGTTTTGTATTGCTTTTGTTTTTTGAGATGTCTCAAGAGTAGCTGGGACTACAGATTTGCATTACTACACTCAGCTCCCCATATTATCCAAATAGTGCCATTCCCAACCTTCACACAGAAAGCATTCCAAGCACGTTTGTTGACTGATGACTGACTGCAGGAGTGGAAGGAGATAGCATGGAAGTAGAGTGTGTACAGGCTTGGATTCTGTATGAAAATTCTACCACTTATTCAGAGGAGTTGCCAATAGACCTTGGGAACTGTAGACCAAAAGAAAAGCCACCAGGTCATTAGACATGGGGACAGCCAGGCCCAGGTTTGCTTCTCCAGGGACTCTCCAGCACCTCCCAAGTTGTCCCTGCAGTGGCCAGGCTGGCACAGACCTCAACACATTCTACTTTGCTTGCCTGTGACTTCTTTCTCTACCCTTTCCCTCTCTCCCTGGCAGGATATGCACCTGTCACTGGCATGTGCCACCCCCTGAGAAGCTGTGCTCTCAACCACGAGGATGGCTTCTCCTCAGCCTTTGTGGTGGCCCATGAGACTGGCCATGTGTAAGTAGCACAAGGAAGGTGGTCAGGGCTGGGCAGGTCTATGAGTGTTTGCTGTGCTGAATTCCCAAGAGTCCAGTGGGTGAAAGGCTTTGCTCAGGTCAGGCTTTGGTCCTCAAGTCCCAGGAAATGCTTGGGTGCTGCCCATGGAGGGAGACCCTGCACTGAGAGAGAGGGAGCCAAGAGGCCTTCAGCAGTTCTGGGCCTGTCTTGGACCCAGCCTCCTAAGGGCAGGGCTATGGGAACCAGATATGCCCTGCATTGGGGCAGGTCAGTGGCAGTGTCCCTGTAACAGGCAGGGCCTGCTACCTGGTTGATCTCCATCCCTGACTTCCCTCCATCTTGTCCTCACCTCAGGCATTCAACCTGGTTCCCATTTTTTTTTTTTTTTTTGGCTACACTGGGGTAGGCTCTCTTACCACTTGAGCCACACTCTGCCAGCTCTCACCCTGGTTTTCCTGCTTGCTGAGGAGCTGGCCTGAGCCTACCACAAACAGACATACTTAGAACCCAGGCAGCAGGCTAGGTAGAGGCTGGCTTCTGGCTCTGTAGGCTTGAGTGGTGTTTAGAGCACATTCATTCATTCATTCAACCAATAGTTCTTGAGTACCTGCCCTCACCCTCTAGGCAGAAGGCTATAGAAAAGCCCTCAGGAAGCTACATGTTGGGCAGAAACCCAGGAGCCACTGTCCAGTGTGTCACATGGGGATGCACATAGCCTACAGTCTCACTCTGGCCATGTCTGTCCACAGGGGCAGAGCCAAGAGATGGCATTGGCTCTGTTGGATTTCATCCCAGCTCTGTTCCTCACTCCTTTTCTCCTTGGGCCTCCCCTAAAATATGGAGCTGACTCTGGAGAAACCTCTGAGGCCCCTGCATACTGTGGAAGCTGTTAGACCCAAATATTCTGCAGCCACCTGGGACTATTTAAGAAATTAGGACACTGGGCTTTGGCATTAAATTCTAGCTATAAAGAGCAAAACTTTAAGTTTAAACTGCCATTGGGCAGGGTCTGGAGGAGTTTAAAAGGCTGGCACACAGAGGGGCTCTATGAATGAGGCTGAATGGAATTGAATGAGATCCTGCCTTGCACTCAGAGGCCATTCATCTGGTGGGGAGACAGTGCATGGTATACAGGTTGTTAATGGTGGTGCAGGTGACTTGTGCTGTGGAAGTCAGCTCATGGTCAAGGCAGCTAGGGCAGGTGTCCTGGAGCAGGAGTCAGGCTGGAACTGGCCTTGGGAGCTGTGGGCAGGACATGAGGGAGGGGGAGGGTATCTGGAAGGAAGGAATCAGGGAGCAAAGGCTTGCCAGGCAGAATGAGCTCAGCCCCTTTGGGGACAGCTCTCACCAGCAGCCATGGAGAGAGAGGGGTGGTCCTCCCCACTACATGGTCAGGAAACTAAGCCAGGAGGTGCAGCCCGAATTCCTGGTCAGGGTAGGGGTTCCTGCCTTGGGCCTGCCTTCCGAGGGGCGGGTTCCCCAGTATGGCTCAGGGCTCATGCCTGTCCCCCACCTTCCAGGCTTGGCATGGAGCATGACGGGCAGGGGAATGGCTGTGCAGATGAGACTAGCCTGGGCAGTGTCATGGCACCCCTGGTGCAGGCTGCCTTCCACCGTTTCCACTGGTCCCGCTGCAGCAAGCTGGAGCTCAGCCGCTACCTCCCGTAAGTCACCTCACTCTCCGGGCTGGGGCCAGGAAGCAGGGGGCCTGCCACTCCCTCAAGTCATCACCCTACTCTCCTGGCTTGCCTCTTCGGTGGCTCTTGTCCACCTGGCCTTAACCCCACCTCCACTAGCGTCCCAGGTAGGTTAGCCTCTCATTTCCTTGTGCCCGGGAGATCACTTGCATAGAACTCTTATGAAAAACCCAGGTCCCCAGGCTTCTCTAAGATGCTGATTAGTGTCTACTGGGGTTTGGCCTGGGAATCTGGATTCATTAAATACTGCAGGTGCTCTTATGATTAAAGACACTGGGCTGGGGCTGGAGTAGCTGTGTCTCCCAAGGGCCCTAGACAGGGACATGCTGAGGAGGGAATGTGGAGGTACAGGACAAGTGTTGGGCTCAGGAGCACTAGGCCTGAGAACAGCACAGAGTGAATCTGGATGGGCAGATGAAGGCAGACACGCAGTCCCTGACCACAGCAGCTGGCTAGGGTAGCCTGTCCAGTGTTGCTTATGCGTGGTGGTGGGGGGATGTCTGCCTTGGGGCAGTGAGCCCTCAAATTGTCTATGAATCAACTCCTAATTTTGGCCATTGCATGTCCCTTTAATGTGGGCAAAATTGATCCCCTAAGGCAGCTATGAGTTGAGCCCCTATGCCCCTGGCTGCAGATGGCCAGATAATCACTGACAGAGGGGGTACCCAGGAAGCCTGTCCTCCCAAGAAGAGAGAGTTAGGGCCCGGGTATGGGTGCAGATTCCTGCAGGCCTTCCTTGCTCATTAAAAGTCCCAGTCGCTTAGGACTGTGGCCCTCTGGCTGGCTCATTTACTGTTTTCACTGCAGATCCTATGACTGTCTCCTGGATGACCCCTTTGAGCGCACCTGGCCCCAGCCCCCAGAGCTGCCCGGGATTGACTACTCAATGGATGAGCAATGCCGCTTCGACTTTGGCACTGGGTACCACACGTGCTTGGCAGTGAGTATCTGGCCTGTGCCAGGATAGGGGCCAGGGAATATCCTTGTGTAACCCAGGATAATTGCTCATGGAGTACCTTCCACCCAGCTAGCTAGTGGTCCTGATTATGGGTCCACAGGCTTGGTGTCATTGCATGGTGGGGGAAGTGCAAGACGAAGGAAATAGGACCTGCCCAGTCCCACCTGTGGAGGCAGAAGCTTGCACGGACTTTAGCCCTGGGGAAAGGACAGGAATGGTAGATGGTCTCTGAGGCTTCAACTAGGCTGATCACCTGGGGAGTTTACTAATGAAGTAGTCCAGGTGTTGGGAGTAGGGCCCAGGGGAAGAAGAGTTCCCCAATGGGGTTTGGTGAGACATTTTGGTCTAACTCCCTACTCCTGTACGTGCAAGTTACTTCTCTCCCAAGGGTCACTTCCTGGCCCCCATTGCCATAGATACCAGGGAGCATCACCCTTCCCTGCAGGATAGGCAGGAGGAGACCTTTGAGCCTGGAGGTCAGCTCAAGCCACCCAACAGAGGGGCAAACAGTGCTAACTATGGGGCCAGGCTGAGGCTCAGAGAAGGGGGCATCCCTGCGTGGGGACTTTTTGAAAGGCAGGCCTTGGTAGCCTGAGTGCTTTACACCCCCACTCAGAAATGCAGGCCTCCTCATCTCCTCAGGAGAAGAGGCCCTGCCCTGCTTGGTGCTAGAAGGAGCCTGTGTGTGGTCACCTTCCCCAGGCCACAGTGGGACATGTGGTCTGACACAGCATTGCTTTGAGGGCAGAAGAACAGGGCTTGTCTGGCTAGCGAGAGATGCAGAGAGAATATTAAGAAGATTGGGGCTTTCCTGGACAATCTGAACATAAGGTTACCAACCTCTGGCCTCACTGAGTGTCCCCATTAGAGGAAGATGAGGCTCTCACCCTCATCTGTCATGTCAGGGCTGCTACATCCCCAGAGCCTCAAACCCTGGCACAGTGGCTTCTGCAAAGATAGGAGGGAGGCTAGGAGAGAGAGGACAAGGATCCTGTGCACTAAGCTGGGCCCCTTCTCAGTACCTGATGGGAGATGCAGCGTCCTGGAGGCTGCTGGCACTGGGGATAGAATAGAGCTTTGAGGGTATGGGGTCTTTGGTTTCCTCACAGTGTCCTGAGCCCTGGCAACCACCACCCCCTGTCTCTCCATATCACTGCCCTTTGCCCCTGGACAACTTGTCAGAGCTGGAGAGTTCAGCCTGTGACCCCGTGCTCTTGCCACACAGTTCAGGACCTTTGAGCCCTGCAAGCAGCTATGGTGCAGCCACCCTGACAACCCATACTTCTGCAAGACCAAGAAGGGGCCCCCGCTGGATGGGACCGAGTGTGAACCAGGCAAGGTACCTGCAGGGGCTGCAGCAGAAGTGTCTTCTAGGGTATAGACCATCTGTCACTGGCATGGGCACTGGTGTCAGGGCCCCCTCCCTGCCTGTGTGTATGTGGATGGGGCAGAGCAAAGGACTGTCATGAGTCCAGTGTGTAGCAGATGTGCTCGAGTCTTCCTACAACCTTGCACACTCATACACTCTCATATCTCCCACACCATGGCCTTCACTTCTGCAGTTGGCCAAGTTTAGCATGATCTTATAGCCCATACAGCAGGAATGCTTCTTCCCATTTTACAGATGAGAAGATTGACGCCCAGAATGGTTAAGGTACAGTTGGGATCACACAGGGAGAGAAAGCAGATGGGGAAGACTCCAGGTGCCTGCCTACTCTCCCGCCCCCAGGCTGCCTCTTTCCCCAAAATGTGTTCTCTCCCCTTCCCCAGCCTACCCTTCACCTATGCCTTCTGGGTTTGTGTCTGCTCCTTGGGCCTTCGTGGGTGGCAGGGTTGTGTTTGTCAGGGGACCTTATGGCTGGATCTGAGAGCCTTGAGCTGGGGATCTGCTCTCTTGCTGGCCCTGCCCTTGACTATTGGGTTGTGATCTTGGACCATTCACTGGACTTTGCCAGCCCCTCCAACCCAGTTACTTAACCGCCTGCCCACTGACTTGTGACCTCTGCCCTAGCCAGGCTCTTCACACTCTCCCCTCAGTCCTACTAGGCATCTCCCAGGCTTGTGCCTTCACCGGTGGGTGTTTATTCCATGTTACCCTACAGCAAAAGCGAAGGGAGCTGCCTTTAGTGGAGCCCACCTTTGAATGCCTGGCTCTATGCTTAGGCCTTTGCAGGGTTAGTGCCTTCAGTTCTCAGAACCGTTCCATTTAAAGGTGAGTAAACCAAGGCCTGGCAAAGTGAGGTGTGAATACACAGCTAGGAATGGCTGAACTGGGATTCAAAACCAGGCCTTTCTGCTGCCATGCATACACTCCTTCCACTCCATGGATGTAGCGAGCTTTCTCACAAGCTCTTGTTCTCCATCCTAACTGTGGGCGACTGGAGATGCAGAAAGGACAAACAATAGAAGACAGACATGCAGAAAGTTGGGGTCAGGTGTGCTGGGCACTTGGATGGAGACACACAACAGCCTAGTTGCTTCTTTTCTGCTAATAACTCTTTTACTTTGCTTCTTTTCTCTCTGTTCTTTAAAACTTTGCTTTTCTATTCTTTAAAGTCTCTTTCCTTAGACTTGCACTGTCCCATGTTTTCTTTAATCTCTCTTAAAGCCTTGGCCCTCAGACTTGCACTGTCCCTTGTTCTCTCTTAAAGTCTCAGTGCTCAGACTTGCAGACAAACAACAGCAGCCACATCTATTTTTTTTTTTTTGGTTTTCCTTTTTTTTTCTTTTATTATTCATATGTGAATACAAGGCTTGGTTCATTTCTCCCCCCTGCCCCCACCCCCTCCCTTACCACCCACTCTGCCCCCTCCCTCTCCCCCAACCCCCTCAATACCCAGCAGAAACTATTTTGCCCTTATTTCTAATTTTGTTGAAGAGAGAGTATAAGCAATAATAGGAAGGAACAAGGGTTTTTACTGGTTGAGATAAGGATGGCTATACAGGGAGTTGACTCACATTGATTTCCTGTGCGTGGGTGTTACCTTCTAGGTTAATTCTTTTTGATCTCACCTTTTCTCTAGTTCCTGGTCCCCTTTTCCTATTGGCCTCAGTTGCTTTTAAGGTATCTGCTTTAGTTTCTCTGCGTTAAGGGCAAATGCTAGCTAGTTTTTTAGGTGTCTTACCTATCCTCACCCCTTCCTTGTGTGCTCTCGCTTTTATCATGTGCTCATAGTCCAATCCCCTTGTTGTGTTTGCCCTTGATCTAATGTCCACATATGAGGGAGAACATACGATTTTTGGTCTTTTGGGCCAGGCTAACCTCACTCAGAATGATGTTCTCCAATTCCATCCATTTACCAGCGAATGATAACATTTCGTTCTTCTTCATGGCTGCATAAAATTCCATTGTGCATAGATACCACATTTTCTTAATCCATTCATCAGTGGTGGGGCATCTTGTCTGTTTCCATAACTTGGCTATTGTGAATAGTGCCGCAATAAACATGGGTGCAGCAGCCACATCTAAAACTACATTGGCATAACTCTTAAAGTCACTGTCCTTAGACTTGCACTGTCCCATGTTTCCTCTAATCTCTAGCATAACTCAGCAGCAGCAGCAGTCTCACAAGCAGCTGGTAGCCAGCCAATCAACCCCCATCAGAAAAACCTCTCATCCTCCTTCAGTGAGTCTTTTATATCCAGTGGTAAACAAGGAGGTGGAGCAACAGTTCTCCGGGGAGTGGTGTGACATTGTAACAAGAGAAACCTGCTCTCTCTCTCTCTCTCTCTCTCTCTCTCTCTCTCTGAATGTAAACAACTTAGGAAAAGCAGCTGTGCTGCATTTTGCCTCTCTCTCTCTTCTGCAGCTGGGGCCTTGCCAAACTCAGCCTGTAGATCATTGAGCACAACTGTGCTTATGTCAAGTTCTCATAGGCTTCTCATAATCCACTCCCCACACATGGACAGAGCCCCCCACACCCCTGACCCCACCTTGTGGCTCCTGGGAAGTGATTCAATGTGCAGAGCCAAGATTGGCTCAGATAGTGTGGGAAGATTATGTCTTTTCTCCCCTCTCTGCCCTTTATTTCTCCCAGGGTGCTAAATAAAATAATTACACATTTATTGTCATCATTAATCTCATTGACTAATATATGCCATTCTTGGGGGGGCACTGTGTGGATCAGGCACTGGATACCATGAGCAAGTACAACTATCTACATTTATAAATGAGGAGTAGGTCCAGGAAGGCGTGCCCTTTGTCTGAGTTTGCTCAGCTCCTGGTAAGGGTGCAATTCTGTCTAACCCCAGGCTTTTCTGCTCCCTCAACATCTCTTTCTCTGGGCTCCCTATGGGGTCCACCAGCTATTCTGTACTGCACTGCAGTGGCTAAGGGTGACCTAATGCCCTCTGTTCCATCCCAGTGGTGCTTTAAAGGTCACTGCATCTGGAAGTCGCCGGAACAGACTTATGGCCAGGATGGAGGCTGGAGCTCCTGGACCAAGTTTGGGTCATGTTCTCGGTCCTGCGGGGGCGGAGTGCGATCCCGCAGTCGAAGCTGTGACAATCCCCCGTGAGTGTGCTTGGCTGGGGCGGGCAGGGTAGGTGACCCCACCTCCCTAGGACTGAGGGGGTTGGAGGGGGAAGGCAGTGGGGGACAGGGTGCAGGAGTGAATGGAATGGCCTCTACAGACAGTTATATATTCTGTGCTGAGGACCCAACACTGTTGGGGTGGGGCAGATCACTCCCACCTGCATTCATAAGCAACTTCTGAGGATGTGCATAAATTAGTGATTCCCAAATTCTATGGAGAAAGTTTCCCAGAGTCTGGGTGGCCCAGGGCTTGTCTGGTTAAGCAAGACTTCCCACAACCTTGCTTTCCAGCTAAACTTTGAGTAAACAGTGACCTAAATGTGTTACACATCATCTCCAAGTTTATTTTCTACCACATGTGCAAAACTTCCTTTAATTTTCTTAACTTACCTTTTTCTAATAATGCCCTCCCAATTTCAGCATTCTGGGGACACATCGATATTTCCCTTCTTATTCCTTCTTATAGGATCCCTTTCCCTACTCCATGTTTTTGGAACTTCAGAGCCACAGCTCTCTGAGGTCCCCATCTCCAGGCTGAAGCAGCCTTGTGAGAGATGGGGACGATGGGGATGGCTGAGGCCACTATGTGGTTCGTTGGCCTAGGGACCTCCACATGGACAGGGCCCAGCCTTGCCCCTCCTGGCACTGTGTGATGTCATGAACACTGCACAAAAATAGCAGATCACAGGACCACAGTGTCTCAAGCACTCTCAGAAATGGTGATTTGTGCTGTGTCATTTACCTAATACCTGCTGAAGCAGCCTATTCCTTGTTGAACAGCTATTTTGACCTTCTACAAGTGGGAGCCATTTGTTCCTTTGTTAGATAGTCTGCAAATGGGAGCCAACATGGACTGCCTTGTAATTGTTGGCTGTAAGACACATGAAAGCTGAGGTGACAGGAAGGCAGAGGGTACTTGCTCTGATAAACCACCTTGCAGTCATAACTGACAGTTATCCTTTTGATCAAAGCTACCGTTTATTAAGTTCCTCTGTAATAATTGCTTTTATTTTATGAAGTTTAAGGGAACTAATGTGTATGCCCTCAGAAATATACTAACATGTCTGTCCATCACAGGTTAACCACTTACTAGATGACAACTGCTGTTATAGTTATCAATGCAATGTGTGTCCAGCACTTGTCTGAGCTAGGCAGAATGCTAAGTAAGCACTTAGGTGCATTGACCTCCATCTCTGTGGCAGGGGACTGTTAACCTGGTACACTTGGATGCTTCATATCAATAGTCTTGAGATATAATGGAGAAAAAAAGTATAGATGACTTTATTTTTTTGACAGTACTGGAGTTTGAACTTAGGACCTCCCCCTTGCTAGGCAGGCATTCTACCACTTGAGCCACACCCCTGGCCCAACAATACCCTTTTCTTGCCCTCCTTTATAGACACCAGGAGGTGGGTAGAATAACTGGTATGATGGTCCGTCTTTTTGAGGGGCAAGCAAGGCACAGTCAAGCGATTAGACTAAGTTTGCATGGTCAGAACTTGGACACCACCCTTCTGGTTCCAAATCTAAGTCTCTGACCACTCCTTAGTTTCCTGTGATAGTAGATGGAAGTGGATACAAATAAGAGCTGTTGAGTCACTTATTGAGTGCCTACTTCATGCCAGGCCATGTGTAGTCATTGAAGGATGAGCAAAGGTTAATTTCCAGCCCCACTGAAAAGGGGCCAGTCCCTGTGTCTTGACTGTCATTCCGTCCCTTTCCCCCTCACACAGTGGACTAGGTGGTGTATATGTGAAGGACAGAGTAGTTAGAGAGAAGGAAGGCTCTGAGCTCAGAGGCCACCACATGTGGTCAGTCTCTACTTGATAAGTTAGTGGAGCCCTTGCGATGCTACTTATTGTAAAGGCTGAGTAGCCTGGATGTGGGAAGCACACCCTCTCCCTGCCAGCCTTCCCAGCCAGGCAGGTCACCTGGTGTCTCTCTGCTGTTTCAGCCCATCCTACGGAGGTCGCTCATGCTCAGGGCCCATGTTCGAGTACCAGATCTGCAACAGCGAGGAGTGCCCTGGGCCTTATGAGGACTTCCGGGCCCAGCAGTGTGCCAAGCGCAACTCCTACTACATCCACCAGAACGCCAAGCACAGCTGGGTTCCTTATGAGTCTGAGGATGGTAAGCGGTCGTGCTTTGCCCATGGCCCAGGTGTCCTCTGGGCCAAGTGTTCCGAGCTGGGGCCTCCCTCCCCTGTTCCTGCCAGTGAGAGTAGAGGGAGGTGACAGTACAAAAGGGGGACATTGCAGACAGCAGGTTGGCCACATACTTCCGTACAAGCCTGTGCATTGTACCCAGCAGCTGCTGCCACGGTCCCCATTAAAGCTGTTCCTAATTTGCATGCTTATGCAGTGAATGTGGCCAAGGAGGGGCTTCACCCAGAAAGGCTAAAGAGGCCGGCAGCAGTGCTGGGGTTGAGGCTGGGGTGCCTTTCAGACATCTGTCCTTACATGTGTGGGAAGGCATCTGTCCTTAAAAAAGAGGTTCTGCAGAACATAGAGGTCTGTTGTCCTTAGAAAAGTGAGGTGGGAGCTTAGCTAACTTCCTGGAATTTATCTCAAAGTCTTGCTGCCTCACTGGCCTCTCAGCCCCTCCTGGGGGTGCTTGGTCCTACTACATGTGAGGTTTTCAATCTCATTAATCCAGTCTCCATTTCAACAGTGGCTGAAGGTGATTGGAAAGGCAGGCAGGTGGGAGTCTATAGGATCCTCATACTGACCCCTCAGTGGCTCTGGGACAAACACAGGGCTCAGGTCTCACACAGAGGGTCTGAATTTGGGGACTAGCTGGTGCCAGCTCTCATGTTTTGAGCATGCTCTAGCCTTGGGCTTGGCTCTGGGCTTCCTCAGTGGCAGACAATCCATGGAAGCCTGGAACACATGGTATCTTAAAGAAAGAAGGTCCTTACCAGCCCTCTGATCCTGGCTTCTCTGTGTCCTCCATGACAGACACTGCTGTGTGGCTCTATGCCTCTGTGCCACAGACAGTTCCTAGGAGAACTAGAGGACTAGCCTGGGCTGACCTCAGGACTCTGGGCTCCCTGGCTCATGCTCACAATGATCCTCAAGTTGGACGGACCTCAGAGGCCCTTCCCTAGTGGGTGTCTTCCCTCTGCCTGCATTCCTCCCATTCTAGGTAACTCACCAGTCCCTTGGCACTGTCTTCTGGCTTCCATTGCTGTCAGACACCTGCCTGCTGGGCTGTATTGGCCTGGACCCTGCCTGTCCCCTCGACAGTTGGAGCCCCAAGCCCCACTGAGAATCTGGTTCCTGTGGAGGTTTTAGCATGCTGGATTCAGACTAGAGTCCTGAGTGCTGGAGGCAAGAAGCCACTAGGTGCTCTGGGAGCTTGGGGACAGGAACAGGAGCCAGACGGTGTCCCTAGGAATGGGCTAGGGAGAGGCTCTCTTTAAAAGATTCTAGGAACGTTCAGAAGTCAAACAGACAGCCGTGGCCTGAGGAAGGGAGGGCAGAAAGGCCCCTGAGGCCGCTAGACTTCAGGCTTTTCCCAGGGTTTTGAGACAAATTCCAGGAAGTTAGCTAAGCCCCTAACCTCGCTTTTCCTAAGAAACACAGCAAGTGTTTATGTATTCTCTGGAACCGCCTTTTAAGGATATCAGCAACCCAGAGAGAAAAGAGAACATTTCATTGTTAGGACTGGAAAGGCGCTCATTCTCCCTTTACAGGCGCTCTGTTGAGGAACTCAAATCCAGGCCTCCCCTCTGCCTTAGGTTCGGGCTGAGTTCTGATGTGCACGTGCACGCGGACATGCCATCATGTTACTTGTGTGCCAGTGGAGTGCTGTAGACTCAGAGCAGGATGCAAGCCTGACTGCCCGGGTTAGGGCCCAAGCTGAGCACTTACTGTGTGGCTTTGAATGCTTCCTTAACCTCTGGTCCTCAGTCTCCCCATCATGCTGGAACCTGCCTCACGGGGAACTGACAGGGTAAAGTGAGTTGGTTCGTGACAGGCATTTAAAGTTGCATGTTAAGAATGTACAAAGGCTTTGGACCTATATTTTATACTGTAAACTTATTGTTGTTATTTTGTCACTTGATTTTTCTCTATAACCTGATGTGGTATTTTACTGATCAGGGACAATGGAAAAAGGGAACTGAGTCTCAGAAAGGTTAAATGGGTTGCCCCAGGTCATGTGACTAGGTTAGTAAGTGCCATAGCAGGGATTTTAAGCCCTGGCTCCACAGTTAGTGCCCCCTCACTGCTCAGAGCAGGCCTGGAGCTTCTTGGCTGGGCTGAGATGACACTGATATCATTCTGGGCCAGCCACTTTCTGCAAGCCCAGTGGGGGCTCAACAGTGTTCCTTTCTCTACAGATGCCCAGAAGTGTGAGCTGATCTGCCAGTCAGCGGACACAGGAGACGTGTGTTCATGAACCAGGTGGTTCACGACGGGACACGCTGCAGCTACCGGGACCCATACAGCGTCTGTGCCCGTGGCGAATGTGTGGTGGGTGCCCCACTGGGCCACCTACCCTTTGCCTGCTCCTGGGGCCTGGAGGGCTGTGCTGATGGCTTCCTGCTCCCTAAGATAGGTGTGGTCACAACTGCTACACTTGGGCACCCCTTGGCTTGCAACATAGCCTGGGCTGCTGGAAAAGAGTCCCTTTTGCCAGCCCCATTCAAGGGGTGAGGAGATGGCAAGAATAATTACAATGCCAGGTTTAAGACCTCACCAGGGTTGCAGGGTGAATTTTTAGGACAGTTCTGTCCTGGGAACCTTCTTGGGGCAGGGTTCCTCCCTTGGCCAGGGCCTGGGTACCAGGGTGGAGTCACCTAGGGGTGATGGGACAGGGAGCCTCCTCTCACTGATCTTGCCTCTGGCCTCAGCCCATCGGCTGTGACAAGGAGGTGGGGTCCATGAAGGCAGATGACAAGTGTGGAGTCTGCGGTGGAGACAACTCCCACTGCAGGACTGTGAAGGGGACACTGGGAAAGGTCTCCAAGCAGTCAGGTGAGCTGTACTGGGACCAGGGCATTCCCGGATGGGCTTCCCTCCTTGACCCTTGCCAGAGTTCAGGGGAGGGTTGGAGACTGGATTGTTTGCCAACTTCCCAGCTGCCCAGTGCTGGTCACCCCCATCTTCCCAGCATTCTATTGATGGGCCTGGAGCCCATCAACATTTTCCTGATAGGTGTCATTGTGACAAGAAGGAGCCTAGTCATCTCTTTGGCCGTGGGGCTATTGGTGGGATGGAAGGATCAGATAGGCCTAAATGTGTAACCAAGATTGGACGGGTAATTTTCTTTTCCTCTCATTTTTTAAAAACCTATGACACCTCCTGTTTTGGACTCCTGGTACCTCTGAATTCTTTGACTCCCAACCTCCAATCTGACAAAACCTGCTGTGAAAAAGGGCCAGATATTAGTCTTTGCACTTTAATATGAACTGGATCTATTTTCCCTTGGGGAATTTACAGCTTTGCCTCATCGTTCATTGTGTGGTGTGAGGGAGGGTTGATGACTCTGAGAAGGCCTTATCTCCTGGCCTTGGATGAGGAGGTCCTTAGGGGCCCAAGACAGTCATGTGGGATCTTCATAGTGTATTTCATCTAAATCCCTATAATAGCTTAGAAAGGAGGGAAGGGAGAAGGTCAGAGGAGTGAAAAGGAGGGGAGAGGGCAGAAGTGAGAGAAGAAGGTCAAGAAGTGGGAAATAATAGCAACATACGTGCATGGGTGTTTACAACAACCCTCAGTTCACAGGGCACTTGAAGCCATAACATCTCATTTGCTCCTCCTGGTCCCCTGGTGGGAAGGCCCCACCCTATTTCACAGATGAACAAACAGGTTCTGAGAGGTTCTATGATTGAGTGAGTTGCTCCTGATCCTGGGTGGGGTGGGATGCCAGTAGTGGGCCACCTGCTCAGGACACTCTTTGCTTTTCTGGATCCCCCTGTGTGGCAGCAGCTCTCAAACTCGTGCAGATCCCAGCAGGTGCCAGGCACATCCAGATCGAGACACTGGAGAAGGCCCCCCACCGCATTGGTGAGTACCAGGACTGCCCTCAGGCTTGGGGTGCTGGGGGAGCAGGGCCACAATTTCAGTGTTGGTAGGATTTCACAGACACAGATAGTGGACAGAGAACTCCTTTTATTTTACATTTTAATTTATGCTGAATGGGTTGCCCATTCCATGGTTCAGATTTTGGAAGGTCTAAAAGGGATCTAGTGAACAGTCCCTCTCACACCCCTATCCCCTGGGCTGGTTTCTTCCCCAGAGAGAATTACTGTTCAAATTTCTCATGCATTAGATAGTTTTTAAAGGAAAACCATTTTCATAGAGTGTATTGGTCAGTTCTTGCTGCATACCATACTACCCTAGGATGAAATGATTCCAAGTAACAGTTGCTTATGAGTTCACAAATCTGTGACCATCAGGTAGGGCCTGGGCTCAGCTGTGCAGTTCTTCTACTGGTTGTGTGGATGGTTCTTCTGGCAGCTGGTAGGTCTAGGAAGTGTGGGGTTGATAGTGGCTGTCAGTTGGGATCATAAGGGTGACAGGGACATGTCCCCAGCAGGGTAACCTGAGATTATTCCCATGGTGTCTGTCACATGGTCTTCAGCAGTAAGTAGCAATAGAGGATTGGCCCCAGTATACAAGTACTTTTCAATTCTCTGCTTGCGTCATTTTCTAATGCCTCACTCCCTCAAATCGCATGGCCAAACCTGGTTCAAAGGGTAGAAAAACAGACTGTCTCTTGATGGGCGAAATGGTAGAGTCACAGTACAAGGGGGCATTGCATGTAGGAATAGGAAGAACTGATAACTAATTCTGCGGTCTACCACATGGGCCCTTCACTTATTCTCACAATGATACTTAAACACAGAACTAAATGAGGTGTCTATACTTTTTTCTTGTAATGGTTATACGATCATGAGGCCAAGATAGATTAAAAATCAGAATCTCAAAATAAATTAGATCAAAAGGTTCAAAATAAAAACATGAACAGAATCTGAGAGATGTTTTTATTGGTTTGTTTTGTTTCATTATTACTGGAACCAAATTGGCAGTAATTATGTCCGAAGAGGTAAATTCACAGAGACATAAAACAGGTTCATGGTGGCCAGGGCCTGGGGTGGGAGTGTGGAAATGGGGTGGGTATTGTTCATGGGTATTGGGTTTCTTTTGAGGGTGATGAAAATGTTTGGGAATTACATAGTAATGATGATTGAATGTACTAAAAAAATTACTGAATTGCACACTTTAGTAGAGTGAATTGTATGGTGTGTGAATTATTTCTCAGTTACAAACCCATAAGTGTGGTTTACAGCAGGGCCTGACAGACTGTGGGCAGCAGGCTGCTTCTGCATGTTGAGTGATGGCTGGATTCTCCTGCATGCATCTGTGTTCAGATGCCTCTCAGAGAGTCCATGGGCTGGGACTTCACCTTGTCATATCGTAGAGGCCCCTCTAACCTATTATGCCTATTAAGTCATACCGCTTGTTGCCTACTCCATCATAAGTGCAACACAAAACTTGACATTCTTGGCAAGCTCATATATCACAAAATGCTGACAATCATTTTTTATATTACTATCCATATAATAATAGAAAAATTAACACCTCTTAGAGATCAGTGCCTCTCAGCATAGCCACAATTGATCCCCAACCTTCTCTCCAGAAGCCACTTGAAAAGGTGTAGTGCACACTAGTAATGGGCAGAAGAGGAACCTGAGTCCTAAAGTGGCTTCAAGGCCCTCTTTGAGCTTCAAGTCACCCATGGGGAATGAGGCAGTCAGCTTGGGTCCAGGCTCCTGTGTCTCAGCCCTGTGCCCTTGCCAGCCCTCCCTGTACTACAGCGAGCATGAGTTTGGAGGACACTGGCTCAGATGGCTCCTACCCACTGTGCCTGTTGGGCTGCAGGGACTTGTTCTGGAATCCTCGGGACAAGGACCCTAAGATGGAAATGTACTGCCAGGCTGCTGAGAGAGACTAGGTGTCTATAATCCCAGCAGTGGGCTGAGCCAGGTCCTATTCTGTGATTGTGGGGATAGCACTCAGCATGTGTCATGAACTCCGCTAAGGCTGTTACATACACAGGCTCCTCGGGTGCGTATTGCTACTATCCTCTTGGGCCTGAGTGTTGGCTACAGTGATCATTTCCACTTTCCAGATGGTGAAATTGAGACTGCATGGGGCTAAGTAACTTCCTCATGACCAGCCTGACTCCAGTCTGGACTCCTAACCTCTTTGTTTCACTCCAGAAGCTTCAGGGAGGGCAATCACAGGAAGCTTCCTAGAGGAGGGGTTATGCTGAGCCGTAACTGTAGGTGGAGATTAGTTGGTCATGAAGAAGGGAAGGTGGTGAGGTGGGAGCAGTGGTGTGCACCAGGGACCAGAGGCAGAACAAGTGCATTTCGCCAGCATTGTGTGGATCTATGTGGTGGGAGGGCTGACAGGGAGGAGTATGAGGTAGACAGGAGTCCCAAGGGGCTGTTGCTTGTCATATTAATGGGTCCCTATAGAAGGGAATAGAAATCTGTATGACCCTCTCCCCTGGTCAGCGGTAAAGAACCAGGTCACGGGCAGCTTCATCCTCAACCCCAAGGGCAAGGAGGCCTCTAGCAGGACCTTCACTGCACTGGGCCTGGAGTGGGAGCACGTGCTGGAGGACACCAAGGATAGCCTCAAGACCAGTGGGCCCCTGCCCGAAAGCCAAATACGAACAAAACAAACAACATAAAGAAGATGAAACAAAATACAAACAAATCCCTAGAGAATGTAACAGACAATAACATAAAGAAAACATACAAAAAAAAAAAAAACACAAAATCCAAAAGATATACACAAAAACAATACAAATACAACAAGACAATAAGATAGAGAGAATGAGCAAAGAAAGATAGATGAGAAATTAAGACACAAAATATCACACATAGAATACATAAGCAAAGAAGAAGAGACAACAAAGAAGATGCAACATACCATAGGGGCAAACATCCCATCTTAGAGCATAAAGATGAACAAAAGAATGGCAAATGAGAAGGGAAAAGGAAATGGCGTCTTCTTGCTGTCAAACCTCAGGGAGCTACATGCTGGAAGCCTGCTCTCCTTCACTGCAGCGTAGGAGATGGGGCCTGCAGGAGGCTTCTGGTGGGGGCAGGACTGATTCCAAAGGTCACCCTGGTATCATCCAGGGTCAGCATGCATTATGGCATGGTCAATGCCCAGGTCCTTAGATGGCTTTCTTAGGCCTTTAAGGCCTGGGGATGCCATCTGGCAGTGTGAGCCTCTGGGAAGGGGACAGGGCCATTGTCCTCGTCGGGGCCATCTCTGCCCATACACCTTCCTAGGCCTGGGTCAGGGCCCAATAGAACAGGGATTTTTAAGCCCAGGAAAGCTCTTTCCACATGCTTGTTGCTCTGGCTGGTGGCAGGGGGCCTTGGATGGACTTTGTTCCTAGTATTGCCCTGTTGCTCAGTCAGGGAGTTCCTGGAGGTCAGGCTCTGTGGCTATTGGTGCCAGCATACTAATTCCATCCAACACATGTTTTCTATTCACCTTGTATCTCTTGTCCACCCATATATCTAATACTAATTCCATCCAACACATGTTTTCTATTCACCTTGTATCTCTTGTCCACCCATACATCTAATACTAATTCCATCCAACACATGTTTTCTATTCACCTTATATCTCTTGTCCACCCATATATCTAGGGCCAGCTGATTTTCAACATGACTACCAAGGCCATTCAAGGGGGAAAGAATAGTCTTTTCAACAATTGGTGCTGAGACAACTGGATAGTCACATACAAAAACAAAAAGTTAGACCCCTACCTCACACCATACACAAATATTAACTCACAATTGATCAAAGACCTTAATGTAAGAGCTGAAAACCTACAACTCTTCAAACAAAACAGGGATAAGTTTTGATACCCTTGGATTCTGAGATATGTAGCCAAAAGCATAAGCAACAAAAGAAGTATATAAACAAGACTTATCAAAATTGGAAACTTCTGTGTAACAAAGAATTCTGTCAAGAAGTAAACAGACCAGTCAGGTGCCAGTGGCTCATTCCTGTAATCCTAGCTACTCAGGAGGCAGAGATCTGAACGATTGCAGTTCAAGGCCAGCCCAGGCAAACAGTTTGCAAGAACCTATCTCAAAACTAGCCAACTTAAAAAAAGGACTGGTGGAGTGACTCGAGTGGTAGAACGCCTGCCTAGCAAGTATGATGCCCTGAGTTCAAGCCCCAGTACTACCAAAGGAGGGGAAGAAAAAAAAAAAAAAGAGTGAAACAGATCACCCAGAGAATGGGAGAAAATTTGTTTGCGAATAATATATCTGGTAAAGATCTGGCATCCAGCCTAGTGATCATCTTCTGGAGCCAGCCAGTGCTGATGCTCCAGAGAGCTAAAGACCCACAGACATAGGTCCTGCCCTTGCTAGAACATATGTCTATGGGAGGAAGAGCACTTAGGGTCTGCAGGCTGCTCTCAGGCTTGACTCACAGCTACTTAGTTTGGAAAAAAGGAGTTTGTATGTGGCACTGGTGTGAACATCCCACTCACCCCCAGCCATACTCAGCACAGTCCCCATCCATTCCTATTCTCACATCCTTCTCTTTGGCCCCTCTACCCCGCTCTGTATTGGCCCTGCTTCTCTCTCTTGTCTGGTACCACCTGTTCCTCATCTCCCCTCAGGTGCTTCCCCCAGCTGAGGGTGGCCCCCGAGGCAGCCTATCCTACAAGTACACCATCCACGAGGACCTATTGCCTCTCATTGGGAGCAACAATGTGCTCCTGGAGGAGACGGACACCTATGAGTGGGCCCTCAAGAGCTGGGCCCCATGCACCAAGACCTGCGGAGGAGGTACTGGCTCTCTTGACCTTCCAGTGCCTGCAAGGGGGCAATCCAGCGCCTCTAAGGAGGAGAGGAGCCAGGGGATGGGGGAAAGGGACTGGTGTTTCCATTTGACATGTCCATACTCATGTCACAGCTTCCCCTCGAAGATCTCCAGCGTGTGGAAGTTGTTCAGGGTAGGGCCTTGTGGCGGAGCCGGGGGCTGCTAGAGTAGGACCCAGGGTAGGGTCTCTGTCCATATAAGAGCTTGGGAGAGAAGCAGCTGTCCAAAGCACTTGCCCACCAGTGCTACGTGAGGAGCAGTTGGGAAAATGGAGGAAGATGTCTTGCAGACTTGGGTAGGAGGAGCCACAGAGGAACAGAGGGAGATGGAATTGGTCCTCCAGATTCTCTAGAGGTGCCCTCTCTGAGGGTGTGAACATGTTGGGGGGGGCCTCTGGAGTGGGTCCACAGCACCCTGCCTTCATAGGAATCCAGTTCACTAAGTATGGCTGCCGGCGCCGTCGGGATCACCACATGGTGCAAAGGCACCTGTGCGACCACAGGAAGCGGCCCAAGCCCATCCGCCGGCCCTGCAACCAACACCTGTGCAACCAGCCCGCGTGAGTGCTCCCATCCCCCTGCGAGTGCTCCCAGACCCCGTGAGTGCTCCCCAGCCCACGTGAGTGCTCCCAGCCCCCTGTGAGTGCTGCCAGCCCGCATGAGTGCTCCCAGCCCCCCGTGAGTGCTCCCAGCCCACGTGAGTGCTCCCAGCCCCCTGTGACTGCTCCCAGCCCGCGTGAGTGCTCCTGCCCCTATGAGTACTCCCAGCCCCCTGTGAGTGCTTCCCAGCATGGTGCAGACATCTTCCTGGGTGGAGACAGGGTGCTGACTAGGTCTCAGGGTGACTGCTCCTGTGCCCTTGGGCTAGGGAGCCCCAGGGAGCCCCAGGGCCGGTCATGTGATCAGGGGCCAGGGTGGGAGCTAGAGTCTGCTGTGTCTACCCTGTGCATGGCCTGGCTGTGATACCCAGTCCCTCCAGTGCCCAGGACAGCTTCATTCCCTCCCTTTGTGTGTCCCTTCCCCTTGTTACTCTGCACTGTCACTGACAGAAATTTGACTTCCCACAAACATGGTGATCACAGAGTGTGCATGTAGGACTAACTCTGCCTGAGATCCTGGGCCACTGCCCAACCCCGACAATGGAGTTTTGTTTTTTTTAAAGAAAAGGTTGACTTTGAAAATGGGCCTGAAAGATCCTTGGCTACTAAAAGAAGTCTCAGGAAACCCAGAGGGAGGAGTTGGGGCTGCCCCTCCCCCACCAGCATCAGGCTTGGCTGTGGTCGCACTCAACCGTGGCACCGCTGGAGATACTGGTGGAAGTTGCTTTGCTGCTGAGACGCTTGCAGACCCCTGCAGAACCGCTGGGTGCTGAAGCGCTGTGGGTGCTGATGACCATACTAATTGCTGTTGTCCTCCCTGGGAAACGCATCTGTGGAAGTGTGGCTTTGGTGTGTTTCACACTGCTGTGTACAGCATCTGCACAAGGTAGCACTCATCTATTTATGGGATGTTGAGACCATCCTGATGTAAAGACAGAGTAACTGAGGCTTAGTAGGGCTAATCTCGCCCAAGGACACAGAGTGCCGGAATTTAAATATGCAATAGAACCTCACATGAGAAAACAGGACCTCCCTGAGGTCACACAGCCAGGCGGTGGCAGAGGCAGGTGGACAGTTGTCCTGGTCCCAAGCATTCTGAAGCCTGTGGTCTTCTAAGTTTGGGAGGCAGCTCCAAGAGGAAAGTGTGTCCCCTTAGTCCCACCTTCTTCTATCTTTTGCTCTATGTCCAGGTGGATGACAGAGGAGTGGGGTGCCTGCAGCCGGAGTTGCGGGAAACTGGGGGTGCAGACCCGGGGAGTACAGTGCCTGCTGCCCCTCTCCAACGGCACCCACAAGGCCATGCCGGCCAAAGCCTGCCTTGGTGACCGTCCAGAAGCCCGGAGGCCCTGTTTCCGTGTGCCCTGCCCAGCCCAGTGGCGGACAGGGGCCTGGTCCCAGGTGAGTGGTCCTCAGGAGGTGAGAGGCATGTGGGTAAGATGTGGGTCTGAGGAGAGGAAGGTTCTGAGTTTTTTTGTGTTCCCTACAGGCAGAATTTCTGTCTGAATCCTTCCCTACATCTAGTTTGGTTTTTCTCATAACAAAGTAGAACAGCTTGCGCATTTGCTATGTGTGGCCCTTTACACTCATTTACATTGACTCCAAGTTTCACATCAGGGTTAATATCTCGTGTCCCAGATAAACAAATTAAAGCACATCTTTTCATTCCAGAAAGATTTGCTGAGTACCAACTGCATGCTAGGTATCGTGCAAGGAAGGCCAGGGACCCAGCAGAAACCAGCAGGATTGTTGCCCTACTCAGTCCACTGAGGGAGGTAGAATAGACAGTAGACTAATGACACAAGCAATAATTCCAGATCGAGTCTGCAGCTGTGCTGGGGTGATGGGGAATGTGACCAAGGACAGGATGGAAGGTGGTCAGGGAGGGTCTCCTTGAAGTAGTGCATAGTAGACTACTTTTAAAGAACTAAACATCCTTACTTAGGCTTTGGGTATAGCTCAGAGGTAGAAAGTTTGCCCCACATGATCTGGGTTTGATCCTTAGCAACTTAAAGTAATTAAATAAAGGACAAAAATCCCCACTCAACTCACATAGGTTTTTGGGTTTTAGTACTGATGTTTGAACTCAGGACCTTGTGCTTACTACAGAGGTGCTTTACCACTTGAGCCATGCTACCAGTCCTTCTTCTTTAGTTATTTTTCTAATAGGGTCTTGCTTTTGTGCAGGGGCTAACCTGGACCACGATCCTCCAAGTTAAGCTTCCTGCATAGTTGGGATGACAGGCACGCACTACCACGCCCAGCTTTTTATTGTTTGAGATGGGTGTCTCGCTAACTGTTTGCCCTGGTGGGCCTCAAACCTCGACCCTCCAGAGGAGCCAGGACTGCAGGCATGAGATACCAGGCCAGGCCATGTGCCTCTTATATTCTCTATAACATATAGCTTCATTTGTTTCCATATAAGACAGGGTCCTCCAAAGCCTTAGAGATGACACTAACAGAGAAGTGACAGATAGTGGAAGATAGAGCCCCTTGTAAGACCAGTGGCTAGTATTTGTTACCAAGAGCTAGTGACAAACAACAGTCACTGAGCTGGGGTCACCAGGGCAGCACACAGAGTGTAAACATGACTGGCAGGATGGGCGTGGTGTAGCTAAAGTCACCAAGGAGATGGCAGGAAGGCTGGTGTCTGGATGCTTTGGGTCCTCCCTGGGCTGTCCTTGATCCTTGGAGGCTGGCACAGCTGCATGGGTCCAGACCCAAGGAGTTCCCACAGGAGTGGCAGAAGAAGTGCCACTGAGTGCCCTTGGGCTTAGAGTCTCTGGGGCAAAGTTCCTCTGGGTCACCAAGGGAGCTTGTGTCCAGTAGTCCCGGTTGCTGTGTGGGGTGGCCTTGCTGATAGTCATTGGATCCTCCTGACCCTCTGGTAGGCCCCACAGTCCCTGGAGTGGCCTTGGATTCTAGTAAGGGACTCCCAGGAGTGGAGAAGGGAGGTGGTGAGGTCAGGCTGGGGTCCAGGCTCATGCTGGGGCTTAAGAAACTTCCTGGTCTCACAGCACAGCCAGTGGTAGCCGGGGATGGCACCGTAGTGACTGAGCACTTCCATCTGGCAGAAGATGGACCTGTCACCCATGCAGGGCTCCACTGCACACAAAGCACAAGGACCAATGGCAGGGGAATGCCCATCAGCTGGGTGGCACTGGCACATGGGCTACACCATTAGCCCTCCCTCCATCAGCCTCCTGGAAAGATGAGCCATGTTTGTCTCCATCCGTGATCACACGCCCCAGTATGAGAAGTGAAACTCTGCAAGTTCTTCCCCGTCCTGCTAGGAGAGGCTGTGATCAGTGCCCAAGAAGTGACCCAGTCATATCAGGCAACCTTGCTTTTCTGGGGACCCTGCCCTGCCATCCCAGTACTGTCCTACACACACATTTATCACAGTAAGAAGTGTGTTAGGTGCAGGGGATGGTGTGTGTGGTAGTCCTTGCATCCAGCTGTCTGTTTCCCTTTTGGAGAGGAAGATGTGTGCATCTGCCTCTGAAGCCAGTGTTGGGTAAGTCGAGTCCCCAGATCATTGACTGTCACAGCTAGAAAGGTCCATGAAGAACCTGTTCATAGATCTTCTGGTTTACAGAGTTGGAAACTGACCTAGTGAGGCAACAGTGCCACAATCCAGGCTCTCACACACTTCAAGTGATCTGTGGTGGATCATGACAGGGGAGCTTGCCAGAGTGATACACAAAATATTGAAGAATCAGGCACGGGGTAGTGTGGTCATTTCTTCCACTTATCTCCTCTGTGCCCTTCACAAAGCTTCTAACAGTGCTACATTGCGGCAGAGCAGCCAAAGTTCACAAACTATGGTCCGTCAGAGCCACTGTGAGGGGGGGCCCTGGGTGTTTGAAGTCATCCATGTAACAGACATGAAGAATGTTTTAAGAGGTGCAGTCTCTTTGGAAAACTCATATAACATACAAAATATATTTGTAAATAAACTCATGACATGGGGGAAAAAAAAAAAGAACTGGGTACAGGTCACACATAGTGAATGCAGATGGACTAGCTGGAAAAGGGTCCCAGAGATTTGCTTCTAAACCGGGAGTAGATTGCGGAAGGGCCTAAGGGGGTCCCAAGCTCGGGCAGCAGCTCTTCAAAAAAACCTGACAGTAGGGGAGGGTGTCCTGGTGGGACAGACCTTGCATGTCCCTCTGGTCAAGTGAAGATGTGGCACCTCTTTTATACCTTTTCTACCCTTGGGTTTTGGCTGGACTCTGAGCTCACTGGTGGTCCTCTGTCTCTATTCTGTTCACTCATCCTGACCCTGGGTGCCATGGCCTGGGTCTGGCCCTCCATGCAGTGCTCCACCACCTGTGGAGAAGGCATCCAGCAGCGGCAGGTGGGATGCCGGACCAATGCCAACAGTCTTGGGCAGTGCGAGGGGGACAAGCCAGACACTGTGCAGGTCTGCAGCCTGCCAGCCTGTGGAGGTAAGCACATGGGCTGGGGAGGCCTAGCCCCATTCCCCAAGCCTTGACCTTGGACTCAGCCCTATCTTTAATCCTGGCCCTTAGAAATCCCAAGTACAGGTTGAGCATCCCTAATCTGAAAACCTGAAATCCAAAATCCAAAACTTTCTGAAGGCTGACATGATATCATAAGTGAAAAATTCCATGCCTGACCTCATGGGACAGTTCATGGTCAAAACCTAATATATATAGTTTAGTCAGCATCCCCAAGGGAAAAAGTCCCTTTGGCTGTGATATACAAATTTTGTTTCATTCCTCAAATTATTTAAAAATATTGTACAAAGTTACCTTCATGCTCTGTGTATAAGAAACAGAAATGGATTTCATGTTTATATTTGGGTCACAACTCCAAGGTAAGTCATTGCATATACAGAAAGACGTATGTATGTGCAAATACCTATCAAAAAGAACACTAAACTGAAGTGCTTCCTGTTTCAAGCATTTTGGACAAGAGGTGCTTACCTATAGTAGAGTTGCTTCTCTCTGCTCACAGGAAATCTCCAGAATTCCACAGTCAAGGCTGAGGTCCTAGAACTTGTGACTCCAGAGGGGCAATGGGAGCCCCAGTCTGGGTCCCTGCCCCCTACCAACAGGATATTAGCAAGTAAGTACAGTCACAGGTCCCTTCCCTCCCCAAACTTTTCAGTGGCCTGGGTCCCAAGCATGGACCATGCAGGGAGCAGAGCTGGCGTGCCAGCTGTCTGTGTGGCCTTGGCCTCCCTGAAGTTCAGACTTGGCAACTGGGAAGTAGGGTTGATGCTGTCCTGGTCCTTGACCTCTCATCTGTGATTCCAAAGTACTGAGAGCTGAGAGAGTTATTCCTAAATTTGGTGGTAAAGTATGACCTGGGCTAAGGAGATCTCTTTCTGCAGCTTTGGCTGCAAACACTGCCATATTTGGTTACAAGGTAACACCCCAGATTCCACCGAGGATGTCCTATAATATAAATACACAGAGGATCACTCTTCTGACCCCAAAGTTCTGAATGCTGAACCATATCTGTATCAGCAAATTGTAGACGAGAGCTGCATTCCCAGGGCTTGGCTCCTGCCCAGTGGTCTGCTAAGAACCACGCAGTAGGGGTAGCTTAACAGGTCATCCTCCCATCTTTCCATTCATTCATCCATGAGTAAAGCTGTGCTCTCTTCCTAAGTTCCTTCTTTCTCATCCTGTTACTAACCAGGGTCTGGCAAGACAAGTAGCAGAAAGGTCATGCCCCTAGTTAGAGGAGCAGGTGCCTGTGTGACCTGGTACAAATCCCTGGGCCTCTCGGCTTCTCTGCTCTTGTGCTAAGGTTCGCTGGGCAAGTTCCCTGGGTTCCCTTCCTTTTTTTTCCCCAAAGCCAAGGGACCAGAAAAACGGATTCTGGTCTTGGAGTGTTGGCGCCACCTAGAGGCCACTGGCATCTGATCTGTTACCCTAAACCCGCCTACCATCTCCTACCCCTTCAGTCTCTGGCAAAATTAGTAGAAAGCCATGTTCCTGCCTCCTTTCTAAAGATCTCTATTTGGCCTAATAACAAAAACATTTTCTACCTAAAGTAAAGAAAGCTAATTTAATGAGCGCTCCTCTTCACCAGTTATTTTATAAATGTAATTTATTATGATTGTAATATTATCATTTCTTGATACATGTCAGTATTATCTCCATTTTACAGGTGCATAAACTGAAGCTTGGAAAGTTTAAGTAACTGCTCCAAGGTCTCACGGTTTTTAGGGAATATAACCTGAACTTGAACCTTAATTTTCTTGATTCAAATTTAGTGATTGGGGGGTTTAATGATACAGGCAGGCCCTAAAAGGTGGCGGGATGCTGACCTGCTTGTTAAACATTGGGCAATTAGCCTGACTATGGCTGCAGGGGTCAGAATCTTTTGGATGGATTGGAAGGGGTAGGGGTTCCTAGTTCTAAAACAGGGTCTTCCCACTTGGCCCCAGTACCTGGCCACACCCCATGTTCAGTGGGGGAGGAGTTGGGCATGAGCCATTTGTGAAGCTCCATGGATGATTCCAGGGCACAGCTCAGTCTGTGAATGAATCAGTGCAGAGCCATGTTCTCAGGTTCCCCACACTGGAACCCCCTGGAGCCAGTGTTAAAACAGTGCTGGCTTTGCCCCAGTTTCTGGTGCCCTAGGACCGAGTGGGACTCGAGAACTGGCATTGCTCCTAAACTTCCAGTGATGGTGACACTGAGTATATGGGGCTCTCTACTTGGGAGATCCACTATTCTGGGGGATCTTAGTACCTCTTCTCTATGGGATGGCTCTCCCATCATGTGATCTTTTCTCCCCACCCTAGGAAAAGCTGGGTAGTAAGTCCAGCATGGGTGGTGGGGAGAAGGCTATTGGTGTGGCCCATGTATCAGTGCCACCCAGCTGATGGGCATTCCCCTGTCATTGTTCCTTGTGCTTTGTGTGCAGCGGAGCCCTGCGTGGGGGACCGATCTATCTTCTGCCAGATGGAAGTGCTCAGTCGCTACTGTGCCATCCCCGGCTACCACCGGCTGTGCTGTGAGTCCTGTACCAAGGTCTCAAGCCCCGGTGTGAGCCTGAACCCCAGCCTGACCTCACCACCTCCCTTCTCCACTCCTGGGAGTCCCTTACTAGAATCCAAGGCCACTCCAGGGACTGTGGGGCCTACCAGAGGGTCAGGAGGATCCAATGACTATCAGCAAGGCCACCCCACACAGCAACCAAGACCACTGGACACAAGCTCCTTGGTGACCCAGAGGCATTTTGACCCGGAGACTCTAAGCCCAAGGGCACTCAGGGGCACTTCTCCTGCCACCCCTGTGGGACCGCCTTGGGTCTGGACCCAGGCAGCTGTGCCAACCTCCAAGGATCAAGGACAGCCCAGGGAGGACCCAAACCATCCAGGCACCAGTCTTCCTGCCACCTCCTTGGTGACCTGAGCTACACCATGCCCATCCTGCCAATGTTTACACTCTGTGTGCTGCCCTGGTGACCCCAGCTCAGAGGACACATGCAATGGGGCAGGGACAAGCACAGACTTCCTTTTAAATTATTTGTCTTGTTCTTGTTTGGGACTGTGATGCTCTTTACCCCATGATGGGGATGGGAGGAAGAGAAAGATCAGGGAAAGCCCTAACCACAGATACCTCAGTCAGCAGGCCCTGGACTGAACCTCTCAGGGGCTCCTAGGGCCTTTCCTGCCATGACCAAAGGTCAGTAATTTCCCCTCCCCACTGCCACTGGGCCCAGGCAAGTCTGAAGCTCATGTCAGGAGCTGTCAGGGCTGTCTGCCTTCACAGAACTTGTAGGGAACCTTGTGCAGAGCCCAGAAAGACAAAGCAGGGTCAAGGGAGGTAGGGGCTGCTCGCAGGGCAGGTCCACAAAGGGAGCTGGGTGAACGTGGTGTGAAGCTTCCCTGTTGCAGGTGGGTGGGGAAGAGGCAAGTTCCTCCCAGGCCCAGCCTTCCTTAGCTGAGGCCAAGTCAGAAGCCAGCTCATCTTGGTTGGCTGGGGGGAATGGTTTGTGGTCGCACTCTGCGCCTTTATAGATGTCACATCTGTTATTTCTGGTTACTCGAGGTTACACACTGGCCTCCCAATCACATACCCAACCCACCAGAAAAAGGGGACCAAGCACCCTCGACCCATGTCCTCATCATCCAGGGGTTTTCCATACTGGTGCTTGACCCCTGGCTGGACCAGAAACAGCAACTTTAGTCATCACTCTGGGGCTTAGAGGGAGCCTGGCCTGGCAAGTGACCATAGGACACAGGAGACATGACTTTTCAGGCTGTGCCCTTCAGTTATCACCTTCTGCCAAAGTCCTCTCCTACTGGAGTCAGGATCCCCTCACTTGGCTGGAGCTGGACCAGAGGTGAGCGATGCTCTGAGGGGCAGGTGGGCCCAGGGCTCGGCACCAGAGAGCCCCTCAACCAGGCCCTGGGCATGGCAAGGGCATGGCCTCTGCCCCAGTCACGTTGAGCCAGGCTCAGCTGTCTTCTGTGTCATGTACAAGGAGCAGGCAACAGCCCTCGGCCCTCTGACTCTCAGGAAGTAGACCAGGTCCCCAGGATGCCTTCTAGGGTCCTCATTCCCAAGGTCAACAGGGGGTCTCTGAGACCCCTTGCCAGGTCATAGAGGTGCTAAAAAATGGGCCTCTGCCCTGCAGCCTCCTTGGAGAACAGGAGTGCTGGGAGCTCCTCAGGGCTCTCCCCACCACTGCCCTCCCCTCTGCAGGTTTCTGGGGCCCATGTTGAATCATTCCTGTGAGAACCAGCTTGGCCTGGGTTAAGGAGTGTAAACTATTGTGCCTTGGAGATTCAGATTTTTAAAATGTTATGTATTTATTAACATTGCCCTTGGTGTTTTGATTTGCACCCTAGAAGTGATGCTGTGTGTGTTTTTCTTTCTCTCTCTGTTTTAGAGGAAGGGGACAATGAAGCCAGAGCACTAAGTAAGGAGTTCTAGCAAGGGGTTTGACCAGGCTATAGCAAGATGAAGGGGATGGGACAAGCAGGGAGGGGACACCATGGAGCTATGTGGCAAGCCACCACCCACAGGGTGGATATGCCTGGGAGGTAGCTTTGGGGTCCAAGAGAGAAAAACATTCCAATGATTAGAACTTCCAAGGGTGGTTTCCTTGGGAAGTAGTGAGCACTCTTCCTGGAAGGATCCAAGTAGAACCTGGATGCCAGGTAGGAAGAAGGACTGGGATGTGTCTTATTGGACAAGGAGGACTGAGATGTGAATCAGGCCGAATAATTTAAAAGTGCCAACCCATGAGCTGGGTGTGGTGGCATATACCTATAATCCCAACACTTGGGAGGTAGAGGCAGGAGGATTGTAAATTCAAGGCCAGCCTGGTCCACATAGTAACATCATAGCTAGTCTTGTGCACAGTGAGATCCTGTCTCATAAAACCAAACCAAACCAAACAAAAAAGAGCTGATCCATGCCTCCCCTCTTGCCCATGTCAGATATTACTAATCCATCATCACCTGGTTCAGTGTGCACACACAGGTCCTTTCTTGACATTTGTGAGACCCATAAAAAGAGCACACAGACCTCACAGCCCATAACATATTCCCCTTCTCTTCCTGCCTGCAAGGCCTTCACATTCTGTGTGTGAACAGTCCAGTCCTCATGGCCAAGCTCCCTCTCCATCTCTCTGCAGATAGCCTCCCCTTAGGAGCTACCCCCTTGCCAACAGCTGCCACAAAGCCCTAGGATATCATACGTGGATATCCTAGGATATCACACCTTGGAGGACTGACCTAGGGAGATACTAACACAGGCCTTAGAAGCCTGCTTAGGATGGTACAGGCAGGAAATCCTGTAGGTCCAGGTTCCCAGAGTGTGGACTGCAGAAAGGGGAACCAGGGCCCTGGTTGGGCACTTCCCCTTGGCCTACTGCAATACTTGCCATATGACATAGTACAGGAAGAGTGAAGCCTGTAAAATGCCTAGCAGTCCAACTCTTCACAGCAGTCCAAATGTGTTGTGTGGGGCAGGGTCAACACATGGAAAGTGCAATGTCAATGTGTTCTCATCCCATGTCCATGGCAGACATTGCCAGTCCATCGCCGTACTCTGAGCGCTGGTTCCCCCTAAGAATCCTTCCCATAGTGCTCTGAGCAGTGGCCACTGATCACCACCCCAATCAGGACAAGGAACAGGGGTGCTGGATTGATAATTTAAGTTTTACAGTCCTGGAAACCTTTGCTCAGTCTACATCTTGGGCGGAAAGAAGTGCAGCATTCAGAAGCAGGAGTGCAGCGGTCAAGTTGAGGAAGAGGAACCTAGAAACCCATCCAAGGAATCTCTGAGGGGCTCATGGAGCTCAGGATGGGAGTGAGACATCCTGGGGAACCTTCAGGCCCTAGCATTCTGAGGGTCGCTGAGCCCATCTGCTCATCTGAGAAATGAAGATGAAAGTGTTTCTTTGTCTTTCCTGCCTGTGCAAAAGCAGCGTGTCCAGAAAACGTGCTATTATGGTGATTGCCTCCCAGGGGTGATGTTGATTGCTGTGTTATTCCTAGAAGAAGGGGAGTCAGTTAGCTTGGGGGGTCAGTGAAGCTGTTGGCTCTGCCATAGGAGTGCTATTCCCCAAGGTCCCCACACATCAGCCTGTGGGGTCCTCCCCCTCCCCCAGCCTCCCTATGGCTCTCCCACCCCTTCAGGTCTAAGCTGTCTGGACTGTCGCTTGGGCCTTGGGATCCTGATCACAGGTCGCTCATGCTGTGCTTAGGGTGCAGACACTGTAAGACAGCATTACAAGGCTAGGGATGGGGTTAAGTGGCAGAGTGCTTGTTGGCATGCACAAGGCGCTGAGTCCCATCTCCAGATGGAGAGGGATCAAGAGAGGAGCGAGAGAAAGAGAGAGAGAGAGAGAGAGAGAGAGACTCTAAAAATAAGCTAAAGCTGGATAATTTACAAATTCAAGCATTTTTAGGCCATCAGATCTGAGGTTGCAAGGCAAGCAAGTGAACTAGAGTCCAAAGAGTGACAAGCCCCTCTAAGGAGAAGCAGGAACGTGCTATTATTATCCCTGTTTCCCATATGAATAAACTGAGGCTCAGAGAGATTGACTCACTTGCTTAAAGTCACACATCCAACAAGCAGTAGAAGCAATCTCCACATAAACAGCTGAGGAGAGACCATACAGCTGACAAAACATAAATCTAGCATTATTTAGGTAAGACAGCTTCTGCTACCTAGTAAGTGACAGTGTTTGCAAAAGGTGGGGGTGGAGATGCCAAGGCTCGTATGACTGAAGTCAGGATCCAATATTCATTCTGCTTGTTGATGAAGTTAAAGTTTGACTGGGAACAATTCCCCTCCTAATGAAGAAGCCAAGGCTCAGAAAGGAAGTATCCACAGGTCACAGGGGGAGTGGAAAGCCTGTCCTCCTTTCCCTTGGCCCAGGAACTACAGAACTAACTGACTGCTAGATAAAACTAAGCTGTCAGCAAACACTTTTTGCAGTGGATAGAACTGCTCCCCCTCCACCCCGCGCCCATTGCTAATTTTTAGTGACTTACAATGTGATCGTGTGTTGTGTGATACAAGACACTTCACAGAACGTACCCTGCTCTAGTCGTGGGCAAAATTGCTCCTCTCTAGGGCTCTGCTTGGTCTATGAAACAGGAGATGGAGCTAAAGGCTCACTGGGCAATGGCCCGGCCAAGAGAAAGCAGTTCAGATGCTTTGGAGCCTAGAGGCCACTGCAGTGGGTGAGAACAATTGGAATACAGGTCACTGGAGAACTGAGTAAGCCAGAACATGCATAAAGGGACCATAGGTTTGCAGAGGAGGGCTCCAAACTTTAGGCATACCTTGTAAATGAGGGTAGGAATCACTGGGCCCAAGAGTTGTTGCCATGGGAAACAAGAATCCGGCATTCCCACAGCTTCAAGAGAACACTCAATGCTGATTTTTACATGTTTAAAACCACACAAGTAGGCCGGATGAAAGCTGTCAATCATCTGGGTTTGCTCGGTGGTTACTGTGTTTGGCCTCTCATTTGCTGAGGTGACATAGCTGCTACACTGCTGGACACTGTCTGCTGGGAACAGACTGGAGGATGCTCCTCCAGCAAAGGAGCAGCCTATCTAGGGAGCCCCTCAACTCTCCTCCTTGATGTTCACCTTGACTTCCAAGTCCAAGTCAGGTTACCTTAATGGGTCACAGTTTTGGAAGGAGAGCCTTCCCGTTGCTCTGGCTAGACTAGGTCGGAAGGGGCATTGCTTGCACCTCTGGAAAGAAAGGGAGGCCAAGAAAGGCACTGGGCTGGGAAGTCAAGAGACTTGGGTTCTGGCAGTGTGCCTGAAGCAAGTCACATCTCTGTGCCTCAGTTTCTTTTTGGTCTCTCTAACACTTAGGCAAGCAGTATGCTGTGTTGATTAAATGCATGGGCTTCTTACTTGGTTTTCTTACCTAAA